TCTATTTCATTAATTTCTGCTCTGATTTTTGTCATTTCTTCTTGTCTACTAGGTGTGTTCTTGCCTTTCCAGAGTCTTGAGTTGTATTGTCAAGTTGTTTATTTGTACTCTTTCTGATTTTTTAAATGTAGGCACTAAGAGCTATAAACTTCCCTCAGGACTGCTTTTAAGGTGTCCCAGTGGTTTTGTTGCATTCCATTCACATTTTCATTTTGTTCCAGAAATAATTTTATTTATTTATTCATTTTTTTCTTTGACCCATTCATCATTCAGAAGTATGTTGATTAATCTCCATGAATTCATGTAGTTACTAGAGCTTCTTTTGCTGTTGGTTATAAGCTTTATTGCACTGTAGTCTGATAGAATGCATGGAATCATTTCAATTTTTTATATTTGTTGAGATGTGTTTTGTGTCCCAGAATGTGATCAATTTTAGAAAAAGTTGCATGGGCTGCTGAGTAGAAAGTGTATTCTTTGGTGCTTGGGGAGAATATTCTGTATATGTCTGTTTCATGTAAGATGTCATTTAATTCTGTTTATTCTTTGTCCAGTTGACCTGTCTATTGAAGGTAGTGGGGTGTTGAAGTCACCTACTGTTACTGAGTTGGGGTTAATCTGTGTTTTATAGTCATAGAGTACTGTTTTTATGACACTGGGTGCTCCATGGTTTGGTGCATGTATGTTCATGATTGTAATATCTTCTTGATTGATTGTTCCTTTGATTAGAATGAAGTGACCCACTTTAACTCTTCTGATTAGTCTTAATTTAGGGTCTGTTTATACCTGCTTGCTTCTTAGAGCCATTTTCTTGGAATATTTTTTTTCTATCCTTTCACCATAAGGTAGTGTCTATTCTTGAAGGTGAGATGAATTTCTTGAAGACAATAAAAAGATGGGTTTTCTCTCTTTTTTTTTTGGTCTTTTTGAGACAGGGTCTCCCTGTAGCCCCAGCTGGCCTGGAACTCACTATGTAGACCAGGCTGGCCTTGAACTCACAGAGATCTGCCTGCCCTGCCTCCCAAGTGCTGGGATTAATGGCATGCACCACCACACCTGGCGGGTCTTCTTTCTTGATTCATTCTGCTAGTTTGTTTCTTTTGACAGGGAAGTTGAAGCCAGTGTTATTGTTGAAAGATATGTATTTGATACTGTCATTTTAACTTCTTGGTGTTTGTGGCCCTATTTTGTGTTTCCGTTTTTATACCTTTCTTTGTTTTCTTTCTGTAGCCCCTTGGGTACACTCATTCCTATCTTTGGTCCTTTGTATTGCCTCGAGTATTCTCTATAGGGCTGGATTGGTGGACATGAATTCTTTCAGCCTATTTGTGTCATGAAATATTTTCCATTCCCCTTCAACTATGATAGATAGTTGTGCTGGAGAAAGTATTCGGGCTTGGCGCCCATTGTTGTTTAGACCTGAGAATACTTTGGTCCGGCTTCTTCTGGGTTTCATTGTTTGCATTGAATACTCAGCTATAATTCTGATGGGTTTTCCTTTATATGTGACTTGTTTCTCTAGCAGCTTTCAGTATCCTCTCCTTGTTCTGTACATTTAATGTTTTTACTATGATATGCTGTGGGGACTTCCTGTTCTAATTGGGTCATGTCTAATTGCTGTTTTATGTGCTTCTTGAATCTGTATAGGTGAGTCTTTCCTTGATTTAGGGAAATTTTCTTCTATAGTCCTGTTGACAGTGTGGTCAACACCATTGACCCGAGATTCTTGTCCTTCCTGTATGCCTGTGGTGTGTAGATTTGATCTTTTCACGTTGTCCCACAATTCCTGTGTATTCTTTTCCTGTGGGTTTTTTAAAAAAAAATTTGCATAGTCTTTGCTTAATGAGTCCAGATCTTCAGCTTTGTCATCCAGTCTTGATATTTTGTTTTCCCTTTCATTCATTCTACTTGTGAGACTTCCTACTGCTGTTTCTAATTGGGTTTTTGAGTTTTTCAATTCCATGTTCATTTCAGTGTGGGTTTTCTTTTCTTTTGTGAATTCGCTTTTCAAGTTCTGAATTGTTTTTAATATTTCATTAAGTTGCATATTTATATATTCTTGAGCTTCCATCATAGGTTTATGCCTATCCTCTGAATTATTTGAGTTGTTTTTCTGTGTTCTATTTAAGTTCTTTGATCATGTTTATAATTGTTCTTTTAAATTCTGTGTCCTGGGGTTCCTCAGGTTGTTTCTGATTGTAGTGCTCTTCTGTAGGACTAGTAGGTTTTTTGGTGGGTCTATTCTCTTGGTTTTTCTTATTATTTGTGTTTTTTTTTTGTGCTGCTATTTGAGCATGTGGATGTTCATCATTGGTTGTGTGTCCAGTAGGAACTTATATCCTGTCTTTGTTTGATTGAATTTTGGTTCTGTTTACATTGTTTATATATTTGGTTGCTTTTTGCAGTTCTATGTGGGCCAGTCTGTCAGGCCAATCAGGAGCCTGGGGAAGATGGGGGCAGGGACCACCTGAGGAAGGAGTTAGCAATCTATGCTGGGGGTTTAACTAGTCTGGCTTAGGAAGCTAGTCTGGAGATCTGAGGCAGAGGAATTGGAACGGGCCTGAGTCCAAGGCTAGCAGGGGCAGGGTGGGGGTTGGGTAGATTGTAGGTCTTGGGGCTGCAAAGGAATGTAATCAGGTGCACATATTTTACTTAACATGTTTTTTTTCCTTATGTCTGCCTATTCAAAACATGCTTATCCTTCAGAGTTTTGCTATAGGACTGGGGAGATGGCTCAGTGAGTGAAGGTACTTGTTGCCAGGCTTGACAACCTGAGTTTGATCCCTGGGACCCTCAAAGTGGAAAGAGAGAACCCATTTGTGTCCGTTGTTCTTAACCTTCACATACAGAATATGACATGCATGCACCCCCCTTGCCCCAAATAAATAAATGAATTCTTTTATGTATGGTATAAACAGTTTGTGCAAAACATCTGGGGCCTTTCTGATACCTGTGATCTTTTTTCCTCAGAACTTTTAATCTGTGCAAGTCACTTGATAAGGTGTGTGTGGAGGCTAGAGGTCAACTTCAGTTGTCATTCCTTAGGAGATAGCTACCCTGGTTTGTTTATAAACTGCTTTGAAAAAAATCTCTCTCCCTCCTTCCTCCCCCAACCCCGTGTGTGTGTGTGTGTGTGTGTGTGTGTGTGTGTGTGTGTTTATACTCTGCTCTGAAAAAAATCTCTCTCTCCCCGTCCTCCCCCCCCCCCGTGTGTGTGTGTGTGTGTGTGTGTGTGTGTGTGTGTGTGTGTGTGTGTGTGTGTGTGTGTGTGTACCACAGCAGTGTGTAGAGATCAGAGGATAATCTCAGATGGTAATCTTTGCTTCCCACCTTGTTTAGGGTAAAGACTCTTGTTATTTGCTGCCATGTGCTCCAGGCTAGCTGGCCCATTATCTTCCAGAGATTATTTTGTCTCTGCCTCTTATCCGGGTTTAGGAGTACTCATATTACAGACTAGTACTCATATTACAGACTAGAGCTACTGTACCTGGCCTTATATGGATTATGGGGATTTTTTGAACTCAGGTCTTCACATTTTCACAGCAAGTGCTTTACCCACTAAGTTATCTCTCGAGCCCCCCTACCTCACACAAAAAACTATTGTACATATTATTACTGTGGTAGGCACATGCATGGAGGTAAGAGGACAACTTTGAGGAGTTGGTTCTCTCCTTCCACCTTTATGTGAGTTCCAGGGATTGAATTTGGGTTGTCAGACTTGTGCAGCAAGTGCTTTTACCTGCTGGGCTATTTTACTGACCCTTTTCTTTTTTGAGATAGGATCTCTTACTAGGGCCTAGGACTTGCTGATAGATTCTCCCTTTTCTGCCTCCCCAACACTGGGATCCAAGTATGCATCATAAGCACCTGACTTTTTTATGTGGGTGCTGGTGATTGAGCACAGGTTCTCATGCTTGCATAGCAAGCACTTTACTGACAGCTATCTCCTCAGCCTCAGCTGGTACTCCTTTGTAAAGAAAAATTTCCCTTCATCATTTGATAACATTTGTCTTAAAATATACTTATTGAAAATGAGAGACAAGTAGCTGGTTTTGAATCAGTATTGTTATGACAAAAGAGTTATACATGAAGGTGATCTTTAGGAACTCATAGCTTGACTGGTATAGACAAAATAATATGAACAAATATAGACAAAATATGCATCAACATAAATGAGACAAGGTGGTATGTGCTGCATATCAAGTGACTTGCACAGATTATAAGTTTTGGGAGAAATGATCAGTGGGATCAGAGAGGTACCAGACATTTTAGATAGGAGATTTCATACCATGCCTTTGAAGGATAGACATATTTTAAATAGACAGACAAAAGGTAAATACATACTGTAGGCAGTTCAGATGTTAAGGATGAGTACGTAGGGAAAGATGATGTAATGAACATATCATGGGAAGCCATCTGTCTGTAGAAGCTGAAAATTATGGGTATTTTAGTGTGTTTTCTGCTATTATAACAATATTGCAGAATGGGTAAATTCTACATATAAATTTATTTTGCTTATGATTCTGGAGGCTAGAAAGTCCGAGAGCATGATGATGACATGTGATGTGGCCCATCAGCAGAAGGCACCACATGATGAGATAGGGAGAGAGGATGGAGGGAGAAAAAGCTGAAATACTCCTTTCATTGTTAGTCCACCCCCATAGTAACAGCTTTAATCCATTCAGGAGAACAGTGCAACTGTAACCTAATTGCCTCTTAAAGGTTCTACCTCCTAATATTGGTAAAATGATGATTAAATTTCCACATAGCAATAGGTATAGAAGCAAGTTTGGGAAAGAAGATAATCCAGGAACAGCAATACACACAAAGAAACATGAACAACTTTAATTGCCAGTTTCAAGGAGATTGCACTTTAATCAGTGTATGCCTTTATCATTAAACAAAGCTTTGTGAAAAATTAGAAGCAGGAAGACTATTGTGACCACTTTTGGGTTAGTTGGAGCTGGAGAATATAATTCACAAGTATCCTGTTTCCCTTGTAGCTCGTGTGACCCCAACTCTACCCAGGCAGGACCGTCCTGTGCGTGAGGGGACCCGGGTTGCCTCCATTGAGACTGGCTTGGCTGCAGCAGCTGCAAAGCTTGCCCAGCAGGTAAGTGCTGACCCCCAGCCAATGGCCCTGCTATTATCTTAATGGAGAATAGGTAACCTTTTGGCAATATCCCAGTCCCCTCCTGTATCCTTTACATCCCAGCTCTATAGCAAGCTAGTTTCTTAGGTTATACAGTTGACATGATTTAGTATGAAATAAGGGGTCATAGAAAAGTCCTTGTTGATAACACTTACATTTCTGAGTGTATAAAAACCCTCAGAAGGGGAGAGAGAGTCAGTTTTCTTTAAAGGTGTGGTCCTTTTGTAGGTTGTCCATGCCCCCACTGAATAACCCCATACCATATGTATATGGATAGCACTAATTGGATTCAGTGGGCTATTTCAGAGGAAAAAAGACATGAAGTTGAGAGGGGGACATGAGAAGAGGACCTGGGAGGAGTTGGAGGGATGGGAGTGGGTGATGAATATGATTGACATACATTGTATACATGTATGACATTCCCAAAGAATAAATTAAAAAATATATTTTTAAAAAGCTCTCAAATAGGACTAAATCTGTCCTTTGCTTTCAGATTTAGTCCTGAGGAAATGACTCAGTTGAGTATATCTAAGTCCTTAGTCACCCACCAGTATTGGAATTTGGCCTTTTAAAAAGAGGTTTTTCTTATCCTATAGCAAATATTATTACCTTGATCTTTACCCCCTGCTTCTCAAGAAAACAACACAATTTTTTCATCCTAAAAGGTCACCTTTACTGAAGCAATTTTACCTTTTAACATTAGTTTGCAAAGTTCTTTAACATATGTAGTGTGCTCTGAAATCTTAGGAGCATTTGAAGGTGAATTTTTTGTTTTTTTTTTTCCTTAACAATAGCCCCTTAACTCCTCCTGCCACATTCTACAGCTTGGAGCATTATTAAGCATCTGCCTTATGTTGGGTGCTCCCATATGCAATGTCTAATGTAATGTCCCCAATAGCCTTGTTCAGTAGATGATATTTTCATCATTTTACAGGTGAAAAATATGAGGCTCACTTTAAGTGACTAGTCCAGGATAAGACAGCCAGTAAATGAAGGAGACAAGATTCAAACTCATATCCTCTAACTTCAAATTTCATGCTACTTGATGTTTAAGTGCAGTAGTTAAATGTTTATATATTTTAGTAATTATATCCTATTCAAGTGAAATTTAAGACATTTTTCATTTTATATTCTATAGAGCTATAGAGTTTCTTAGAAATGTCTTAGAGGATATTATTGGGAGCTAGGAGAGACCAAGCAGGCCAGGTGGCCCTTCTTTGACTCAAATTTCCTTCTATTGTTATCTCAGTGCCATGTAAGATATAACTTGAAAATAGATAAAAGTGTGAAAACTCCTCAGTGCTTTCTAAAGAACAACTACTATGTAGGTTGATGAAATTACTTCAAAGAAGAGGTTTTTAAATTGGGGAAGGGTATTTCAGTCTGAGTTTTTGGTAGGAGGAGGGAGGCATTCCAGGAAAAGATTACTCCTTGATATTGCTCATGTAAGACCTTTTTATTTGGTCCCTAGTGACTTTTCCTCTCTGACCTCCTTACTGACCTCAGTATACACTCTTTCATGCCCGCCGCCATACTTTACTACAGCACTCATGGTTCAGTCCGCGTACTAGATTGACTCCTGCCTCTATGACTACATAAACCATTCCTTCTACCCATTGAGAATTGTGCCTTTTATGTTAACTTTACCTAATATCTCTTTATACCCTGTATTATCACTTTGTTTTTTTGATCTTCATCTGTGCTTCTATAGCATTTTCTCATGGTACTTAATGATCATAAGTATATTTTATGTTCTTTATTAAAAAGTGAGGATATATTAAAATGAATTTTGTATCCCCACTTTAGAAATCACACATGATTAGTCAGTGTTGGAGTGAGTAAATGAATGAATGAGATCTTTCTGGATTGGAGACTTCATGTTGGGAGATGGGTATGATAAGTAATGCTTAAAAAAATTAATTGTGGGTCTGGAAAAATGCCACCAAGCCTGACAACTTAGTTTCAATTCCTTGACTCACATGGTGGAAGGAGAGAACCAACTTCCACAAGTTATCCTTTGACTGCAACGCTGATGCCATGGTATAATACACATTTGCATGTGTGTGAACAGACATAAATAAATAACAAAATATTAAAAATGGATTCTGAACAAGTCTAACTGGCTCTAAGTTGTAACTATACTACTTAGACAAGTTGCATAATTTCATTTGTCTCAATTCTCTAATAAACTTTGTTTTAGGATTAAATTGGAGGTTGTGGTATATCCATGCATGTTCCTTAGAATGGCATTTGATATAGAGCAAAAATTATAGGCATGTTTGCTTCAATCATTATCATTATGGGTTGGCTAGGTATAAGTGGCTGGATAGTAGAATACCATGTCAGGCCAAAGAATTTGAACTTGGGTGAAACCTTGTTAGCAGCTTTTTAAACAAAGAAATTGGCAAGTTGGAAGTGATTCTATCACCAATCATCATTTATATGTGAAATAGATTAGCAGCAAAAGTAGGAAAGTTTAAGCTAAATAATCAAGATATGAAGACAAAATTTATTTCAGATTGGAGAAAAGGGGAATAGAATTCCTGATTTGGGTGAGAAAAGATTCTTTACATGGGTGTGGTTGAAGAGAACAGATTCTGAATCGCAATTTGAACACTTATTGGACCTGTAGCCTTGGGAAAATAATTTAGCCTTTTTTGCCCTAGTTTCTTTAGCCTCAGAAAGGGATTTTAATTCTTACTTCTTAAATTCCCAAACATATTAAATGCATAATTAAAGAACAGTGCCTGACATGTATTACTAATACTATTATTCTCATCCCCTGCAAATTGCTATGGTAGCTACAGCTGATCAAATCTTCTGAAGGCTTTTGTTGCTAATAAAAGGCTAAGAAGTATAATCATGGAAATGATATGTGTGACCAAGTGGCATTTCAGAAGGTGAATTCATTCACATATTCTCAGTACCATTTTTCCAGGTTCTCAGGGCTCCAGATGCCCATTACCCAGGTACTTACCTATGCAGTGGATAGTAGATCCATAGAGCAATGAATGGATGAAATCCAAGATATTGAGAGAAGTGGCACAACTCCATATTCATCTTTCTATCCAAACTGAGGTATTTTGATCCACAGTGACTTAGACATCTGTCAAGTCTTCTGTGAGAAGGAAAAAAGATCAGTAAAAGAAAAAAGCTATTATAAGAAATAAAGACAGAATAATAACTTCAATGTGTTCCTTCAATGTGTATTATGTTTTATGTTATTATTTAAACCCTCCGACTATTCTGAAAATCAGACACCATTCTACTCATTTTGCAGATGAGGCAGCCGAGACTTTACCGATGACTTTACCCAAAGTCATCCTATTTAAAGAACAGAAGCCTGGATTAGAACTCAGGCCTGTCTCATTCCAAGCTAATACTCTATGGTCAAATGTTTCATTTTGAAAAGTTTTTGAGGTGGTTAGAAACTAGTTTGGCTACTTTTCTGTGAGAATTGGAGCTCAAATTACTTATTATTTATGCACCTCCAATTTTCTGTAAAACGAAGGAGTCCGCCCCCCAGGACTGTTACAAGGATAAGATAGAGTAAATAAAGTACCTAAGCTATTGGTATAAATTTAGTTATTAGAAGTTCCTATAGTCCACCAAAACCCAAGTCTCCACTTACAGTTCTATTGCCACTGTGCTGTTAATTGGCAGTGATGAGTTAAGGATAGGTGACGCCAAGGAGATAACCTTAGGTATTGGAAGGTCTGTATGTTATATGTCCATTCAGGCTTAGACTTGGAAGGGGTGGAAAGGGAGTGGCAGATTGCAAAACTGTATTGACCATTGTCTCCCTCTTTTTGGGGGAAGTTTTCTTTCCTCCACTCTTTAATCTCTACAACCACCTGGCTTATATTTCAGGAGCTGCAAAAGGCCCAGAAGAAGAAATATATCAAGAAGAAGCCTTTGCTGAAGGAAATAGAACAGCCTCGCCCTCAAGACTCCAATAGTAGCGTGACAGTAGCTGCACCAGCACTGGCTGCTACACCCCAGCCTCTCACTTCCTCATCACCTCAGCCTCCTCCTGAACCTAAACAAGAGGCTCTGTCAGGAAGTCTTGCTGACCACGAGTATACTGCTCGTCCCAATGCCTTTGGCATGGTTCAGGCAAATCGCAGCACCACACCCATGGCCCCTGGAGTCTTCTTGAACCAACGGCGCCCTTCAGTTGGCTCCCAGAGCAATCAGTCAGGACAAGGTACATGATATATGGTGACAGAAATGAGAGAATTTTAGGGTCACCTACTTCTGATCCTAAGTGCTCTGGTAGATGAGAACACCAGGGAGGGATAGTGGAAAGCAAACTTTGGGTGCTTGGATTTCAGTTCAATAGAGATAAGATAGGTTTAGGTTTAGAAAGATTCTTCCAGTGGCCATAATGAAGGATGGACTGGAAGTAGGAAATTTGTAAAGTAGGCACATCCATAGATTCAGGCAAGAATGAAGAAAGGAAGGACCTCTGGAGGAGGTAATAAAGAGCATAAACTGAAATATGGATATAGCCAAATAGGATGTGAGAGGTGATTTGATGTGAGGAGAGTGAAAGAGGCAAGAGAAAGAGGACCTAAGTCTTCCTTTTCCCTTCATTGCCTAAAGCCCAATCCTTAGAGTATGTAGTTCAAGGACACTCATGTTGGTGTGATGTTTAGGATTTTACTAGAATGGGAATTTCTAATGAAAGAAAGGCCTGAGGATAACAACGTCATGGACACGGCAATAATCACCAACCATGGTGGTCAGAATAATATGGATGACACAGAAGCATGCTGACCTCCTTACAGAATTTTGGGAGGAAAATGATTAAGACCAAAGAAATCAACAAGGAAAAAGAACTAGAGAAACTATGACCATAGTTATAGCTGCAGCAAATTGGAGAAGGAACAGCCAAGGCATGTGGTATTGAATAGAAGTAGTTAAGGAGGGCTTCTTGTCCAATATAGAATAAAGATGAAAAACTGTTGTTGATAGAGAAAGGAGGGAGGTGGCCTGAGAGTGCTAGAGTTGCTCATAAAGCCCTTGTTATACCATTTGCTTACTTTGCCCCCTCCCTCACAGGAAAGCGCCCTAAAAAAGGCCTGGCCACAGCAAAGCAGAGACTCGGCCGCATCCTGAAAATCCACAGAAATGGCAAACTGCTTCTGTGAGCTGAGCCCTCTTGTGTCTCACCCCTTTATTCATTCACCCCCATTGCCTTCTTCGTTGTCAACTTGGGGCACTCCTGGATCCTATGAGCCCCAGACAAGGTGCTGAGGTGCATTGTCCTGCTTTCTTGGGACTGACCAAAGGCACGGACTGTCCCCAACTCCCTTTCCTATTTCCGCTATGAGTATCCTGCCTTCCTTCTCCATATCCTTGAGTAGTAGGTAAATGGGAGAAGTTTCCAGCTGACTAGAGCCTTTTTCTGTTCCTCCCATCTATTTCCCTTCCACCTGCTTTGTCTTTACTCTTGTCCACCTCCCCCATGTGGACGGAATGAGGACTGGCATAAAGAGAATTTGGGCCCCTCAGTTTCCCTGACCATGAAGTGCTCACTGTTTTCTGCAACTTCAGCCTTGTCTAAGCCTGCCCACCTCTACTTATTTTTTTCCATCCCTTCTTCCTCCCAGTCCAGTGATGTGCCCTACCTTCAGACTTCTTCTTGGAACCTCTGTTCCCTCTTACCTTTTTTTCATGGCAAAAAAAGAAGAGGGCTCAGAATCCCTTTATTACCCTATTATGGGTCATCTCCAGAGTTGACCTAGAAAAGCTGACTTCATCTGCCTTTGTAAAGAAAGGAGATTCCTGTCACTTTTCAAGGTGGGGAGAAAAGAGATACCTAAGCCTTTGATCATGACTGTTGCTTAGCCCATCAGAGGGAGCTGCTTTTGGCAGACTGCACGTGAAGTCCCTTTCTCATGATGATCTCCAGGGATTTGCCTGAATTTTGAGGCCCTGAAGAACATTATCCCTGTGGCTATAGCTGGGTTCCAGCAGGTGAAAAACTGCCTCCTACAAATCTGGAAGCATCTGCCATTGAATCAGATAACTGACCCTACGGCCTGCTTCTGCCGCCTATACCGTAAAGCACAGCCTGGACCTTCTGGAGAGGGTGTGGTGGGGCAGCCTAGTCCTGAGGGGACTTTGTTGGGAACCTCCATGTTTCTTTCCTTATCTGAGGTCTTACTCTGAAGACCTCAGAACTCACATGTTCACCTTTGGTCGTTGCACTTCCAGGCCGCAGGCCAACATTTAAGCGTAGTGCAGACAGGCCATTGAAGTCCAAGTTTAGATGTAAAGTAGCAAACCTGATCTACTCTTCTTTCTTTCCTTTGTGATTGTCGTCATTTTCCAGTCAGTGCCCCCACTGCCCCTCTCTTGTTTTGCCTCACTGGCAATCTGGACTTGATGGAGAATGCCCCCTCCTACAACCCATTTTGGCATTGCCCAAGTGGAGTGTGCGCTTGTCCTCTACCCTCCTCTCCAACCTCACCCTGGCTTGCCTAGTGCTTCTGGGGAATACAGATCATGGGGAATTTGTGAGGCCTCCTTTGTTGTCTTTGTGTTTGTGGTTTGTCTTTATTTTCTCCATAGATTAACCTCTACCATCCTCTCTTGGAATCAAGGGGTCCTTTAGCCCATTTGCTTTTTTAACCTTGGGGACCCCAAGGGGCCAAGCAGTCCTTCATCTAGTCACACCAAAGGCAAAAGGCCTGGCTACCTCCCCCCTAGCACATGAGGTCCCTACCCCTCCCTCTACCCAGCTTTGCTTATCTTGGGGGTTTCAGGGCAGCCATGGGAAGTGAGGGGAGAGCAGGAGAAGCCTCTGACTCTGTGGGCAACTGCCTGAGTAAAGGCTGACTGCTGTCACCAGAAATAGGTCCCCAGCCCTTTTGCCCATTTAAACCCCCTTCTTGATCTTTCAAAGGCAGCTAATTGCTAGCACCCCCCCACACACACACCCATTCTGGGCCTCTTTTCCTTCTGTTTCTGTGGAGCTGAAACCCAGACTCTGATTGGGTTCATTTAGTTTAATTGGGTTCTCAGAGTCTCCTGTTGTTTTGCGTTGTTTCCAATGAAAAGCAGGTTTACCCTCAGAGATATGCTTTTCCAAAGAAGCTAGTGTGTTTTTGCTGTTGTTGTTGTTGTTGTTGTTGTTGTTGATGTTGTTGTTTTTAATGTTTCAGGTTCTAAGTGAAGTGAGGCGGGGAGGGGTTGGGAATAACCAAGGTTTAGAACATGGTGAAATAGTTACCTCTGATCTGCAATCCCCAGCAGTGAGCTGGGGATAGGATGGAGGACAGAGAGAGGATTTCTATTCACCTTTAATATATTTTTACAAAAAAGCAAACAATTTAAAAACAAACCCACCGCTTCTGTACATGTCTAAATATATTTTTAGAAGTGGGTAGGATTGTGAATTTCTGATGCAGGACCTTTTTATAAATAGGTTAGAGTAGCATCATCCAGATTTCTCTGTTGTTTGTTCCCCTTGTTTTTTCTTATGTTATGTTACTAATGTAATTTATATTTTTTTTAGATCTCCCTTTCCTGTAGAGATAAAAGTGATTTATCTTGGCAATTTCTTTGCTTGGAATTCTTTATGGTGGTGGGGGGTGGTTGGTATGGGGATGAAGGCTGGTGGTGGTGGTGATGGTGGTGGTGGTTATAAAGTGTGGGGTCCAAAAAATTAATCTTTCTTTTTATCTTTCATTCAGCAGTTTGTCATTGGGCATTTCCCTACTGCCCAAACTTATACCTGAGGTTGCAGTTGGATAGGATCTTACCCTCAAGATAGCACACTTTACACATGTGAGGTTCATAATTAAAAGTACAATAAACAGAAAATAAAAGGCACAGTAATTCAAAGGGGCCTGACAAATTCAATGGGAAAGCTATTGATAGTTTCCATGGGCTATTTTCTTAATTTTATTTTTTATTGAAACTTTGATTTTTCTACAATATAGTTTGATGGTATTTCACTCCCTTCCCTATCTGCACTTCCCTGCACTGCCCCCTACCCAATTTAACGTACTCTTTTGCACACACGTGTGCGCGCACACACACACACCCACACACACACATACATATAAAATATACCCACAATTGGGTAATGTGCAGAGAACAAGAGGCTACAGAGTACTTATCCTTGAACGGGACATCTATTTTTATTAGTATATGCTAATATGTAATAATGTGTTTCTTATGACTTTATTTTTTTTTTGTCTTTTTGAGGCAGGGTCTCCCTGTAACCCCAGCTGGCCTGGAACTCACTATGTAGACCATGCTGGCCTTGAACTCACAGAGATATACTGGCTTCTGTCTCCTAAGTGCTGGGATTAAAGGAGTGTGCCACCACACCCAACCCATTATGACATTTTTTACATGTATATAATGTTTTTTGATCATTATTTACCTTACCCCCCCATAACTCTTATCCCCCTCGTGCTCCTGTTAATTCCCTTTCTCTTCTCAGCTAGTCCCCCATCTCTTGTCATGTCTTTCCTTCTCTCTCTCTCTTTCTCTCTCTCTCTCTCTCTTTTTCTTCTTTCTTCTTTCTTGTGTGAGCCACTTAGCTTAATTAGGGTTACTTACAGAAACATGAATGAGAGTGAGAAGTTATTTACTGGAACATGGGTACCTTACCAGTGGTTATACCACTGAAGAAATGTATCTTCCCACCACCCCAAGCAACTGTATTCATATGGAGGGATGGGGCTTTGTGATCTCCTCCCCTCTCCAGAACAGAATGCTGTTGGGCTGAATCTTTTACAGTTCTGCTGATAATCAGCTGCTGGGCGTTCCAGTGCCTGGTAGAAAGTATTCCACAGTAGTGTACTTGTCCTCTAGCTCTTACAGTCCTTCTGACTCCTCCATGATGTCCCCTTAGCTTTAGATGGGATAATACAGATGTCCCATCTAGGTCTCAGCCTTCAATAGTACTTTGCCCTGTTATAAGTCTGTGCAGTAACTACCCCTGCTCTATGGGCTATTTTAAATATATTTTTATTTTAGGTGTATCAGTGTTTTGCGTACATGTATTTTAAGTGCACCACATGAGTGCAGTACCCATGAAGGCCAGAAGAGGGCATTGAATGTTCTATAACTGGAGTTAAGGATGGTTGTTAGGTACCATATGGGTGCCTAGAACCGAACCTGGGTCCTCTGCAAGAGCAGCCACTACTCTTAATAGCTCAGCCATCTCTCCAGCCCCTCTATGAGCTATATTTTTACTGGTCACACACCTTGTTTGCTGTCTATGACTGTGTGATCCCCTTCTCTCTCTCTGATAAGTCACTATATATATGAACCTTGTTTATAAATGACCAACACCTTGTGTTGTGTGGCCCAAGGCAGGCTTTTTACTCTCCATGCATTATCTGTAAAAGAAAGTTTGAGCAGAGCATGGTGACACATACCTGTGCACTTGAGAGGCAGAGATAGGGGAATCTCTGTAGATTGAGGCCAGTCTGGTCAATAGGTTCCAGGCCTGTGGCTGTCAGGGGGCAGCCATGGGACCTGAATGAATTATCATAGATCTGAAAAAAGACCAGGGGACTCATGTGGTTTTATTTCTTACTCTTATTTCTTCTTCTACGTACAAGTGCCAAAAGCACAGACAACTCTGTTTTTATACTCATGCTTATTAGAGCTACAGGTGAATGTTTACAGAAAAGTGGATAATAATAAAGAGGTTAGAATATAGCAATTTAGTAAAATATAATGAGCGGGATAACAGAACCACCATAATATACTTGAGAGATAAAAGTGTCTCCTGAAAAACTAGGGGAGTACTCGCATTCCAGAGATAGCTCTCCAGCAAGCATCCTTGCATTAAACTTTCTCATGAGAAAAGGCTCTCCAGGCATATATGTTCAAGGTTCAGCTAAATTTACCAAGTATATAAAT